ACTATTTTTACCTATAAACCAGTAGGTTTCAGGTGCCCGCAGATTTTTTGATCCGGCTATATCGGTATTGACAGTTTCAACGGCAACCTTCTTCTCGATCTTTCAAATCTTCATTCACAAATATTTAATTAATCACCATTTATCACCATTTTTTTTTAGCGAAGAACGGTTTCGTTCTAGCCCTTTCGTCTTTTTCTTTTCTAACCGAGTTTGGACGAGAAGTGATAACAAGCAGCTTTTGTCACTTTAGGTGTAAAAAGCGAAGGGTACCCAGAGCTTAATTATAAAATCTTAGCTGTGAAAATTAAGCAGTCGATGAAAGCGGGAACTAAACAACATCTCCAAGTTCGTCACGAAATCCATGCAGCACCATTTGTTTCTCGATTCAAATTGTCATGGATTGTATGGTATGACTTTTGGTTCTGTGTATTATTCTGGGTTTCGTAATCACAGAGAGCTTGATAGGAGAACTTATTCCCTTAAAGTTTATTGTTCATGATTGTGCGAGGCCTCGCACAATCGTGTTCCAGTGTAACTGATCTAGGAATGGCAAAAGTGGTTTAAGAGTCATCAATGTTGACCCCTTTTTGTATTCCTAGACACACGCAAGACAAACCTGCTGTTACCCTAGTTTATTTCGCTACAATCCTCGCGTGGTAACCTTTCTCCTGGTCTATTATTGAAAACAAGAATAAGTTATTTCGATATTGTAAGATTAAACAAGGGAATGCCAAAATCATCGATTGTTTTCGCCGACGTTTCGGTTCCTTAACTGAGATTCACTACTTATAAGGAAGTATAATCAAGCTCTTTATTTTATTTGGTCAACAACAATTTGACCTTTCACTCACTAGCCAGAGAAAGGGGAGAAAACCTCTTGAACGCTTTAACAGGCAGAGAACAGCTAAACAATGGACTATTAATAATTGATGAAATACAACAATGTTTTCATTCTCCTCAAAGAAAATATGATGTTTTCGTTTGGCTTGTTTAAAGAACCACCATTCAAAAACTTCAAACCTTTGATGTGTTCATACAGTCTCTATAATTAGTTTTTTTTTCTTCTGACATTGTTGTCCAGGAAATATGGCTTTCGATCCCTATTGTCATTGCCTTCATGTTTGAGTTTTTGGGAAAGGCACTCCACAGACTCCACAGATTAGAGAGATAGTTGTCGATCATAAAAAGTTGTCGATAACAAAAAAGCCAGTGTGTGAAGCTATTTATCGATAACTAAGGGCCTTGAATCAAGTAACCTACTCCCAATGTGTGCCTTCACAGCTCAGTTGGTAGAGCACCGCACCGGTACGGTAACGCGAAGGTCATGGATTGAAATCCCATTGAAGCCCTCATTTTTTTTCAGGCACTTTGCAATTGCTTAAATTGAAAACACAATTTCGATGTTCTGATACATGATTTCATTCTTGTCGCTGCTGTAACCCGTTACCATGGTCACGGTCTCAGTGAACATATATATTAAATAGCTGTGCTCTCCTTTGATAAGTAAACAGTTTGTCGACTTCTCAACACCTTTCTCCTGGCAGGTGACCGCCGATGAACAAGAACGAAGAAGAGTAAGGAGAGAGAGGAATAAAGTGGCCGCCTCTAAATGCCGCAAGAAAAGAAAAGAACACGTCAAAACACTAGTGGAGGTAACTATTCAATTTTCAGAGTTGACTCTTTACCTGTGTCAGGTTAGGCGACAATTATCAGAACGAACCGCAAGTTATTCTCAATCTCAATAGATGGTTCTATAAATGCAATCGCGGGAAACATTGCTAAAATAGCTTAGTGTAGACATACAACAAACGTTGGCTCACGGATATAACATTACACGGATATAACATACATACTTTCTGCCGCCTAGCAAAACATTTATTTTTATCATAACTTCTTAGTAACGTATTTTTTAGCCTCTAATTGTAATTAGTATTGTATTTTTTATCATAGTATTTTTTATAGCTTCTTATTGTAATTAGTATAGTATTTTTTAATCTTCTTAAATTCAGTAATATAATGTATTTTTTAGACGCAGGGCCCCTATGGATACCAGCCTAGAGCTGAATGGGCCATCCTGCCTAAATCAGTAAATATTTACTTACTCTAGTACTTATAGTGCATACGTAAATTCTTAGCCATGTGCTACATCGCCTTGTCTTTGGTAACCATTATAAGGAGCTGAGAATTCTTCCCTGTCTTCCTGGAGCCGATGCGCCGTGCATGACCTAATTGTTACTACGTTGGACTCTGGAGATCGAGCCCCTAAGAAATGGCCTGCTAAGCCAACCAAACTTTAAGACTGATTTTGTACGTTTGAAACCTTTATTCAAATGTCGATACTAAAATATAGCAGTAGTAAAACCACTAAATAGGGACACTAAAATAAATAACCGACAAATCTAAAATGCTAACAAAAAAGTGAAACAACAAACCCTTTGTCTCATTACAGGCATCCGACGAACTGGAACACCAAAACAACGACCTGCAGGGTCAGATCAGCAAGCTACAGACAGAAATCAAGCAGCTGGAATTCATGTTAGATTCGCATAGCTGCGCCAAATATTCACACGGTCAACAGGACGACCACGAGCTTGGATTAAACGTTAATTAGTCATGGAGGACAAGTGACAGAACAAAATCAACTGGAAGAGTACTCCATTATTCAGATTGAAATATGAAGAGCCACAGATACCACGCGTGCGTGCGTGCGTGCGTGCGTGCGTGCGTGCGTGCGTGCGTGCGTGCGTGCGTGCGTGTGTCCTTGTTTGCATGCGTGGGGCATCAGAAAGAAGTGTTAGTCCGTGACACAGTGGTGCCATCCGTTTTCTCTTCAAGCGTGCCGTTTCGTCGAGAAGCCTGCGCGAAGCGTGAAGTTGCGTTATTCTTCGCTATTTGTGTTCACGTACAGGGGTGTTGTATCGACGCGTCGCGTTGGTGTTTGCTTCTGGGAAGCTCGCGGCAGTCCATAACAAGTTGCTAATAAAACCCTGCAGAATATAGAAACGAATCATCCAAGAGAAAACTTTTAAAGAGTTTAGAACATTTTATTCGAAGGAAGAATTTTAGAAAGAATTTGTGTGTGTGGTTATGTTGCTGGTGAAACAGAACAGTTTGTTAAATTATTTTGTGAATCATAAAATGGAGTGTTGCTTATTCAGTGAGTTAAGAAAATAGTCTGTTTTAAGACCGATATTGTGCATCTTATAAATGCGTGAGATCTAATATAGTTTGCCTGAGAACAAAAATATAATATGGTGTGACATGTAGAGATTAAACTTATTAAAGCAAGATATTAAAATTTGAAACCGAAAGCGAGGAAATGAATCCTAGCTTTTAAATTGCCTAGTGTGATCCACATCTAATTTCTCCTTGCAATATCCTTACATTTTCAAGTAGACACATGACGAGAATAACGAAATGAAGCAACAAATTCTTACACTAGAAGTAACTGTATGGAAATCAGTATGGACAAGAGAGGATGATTTAAGAGAAGCATTCCATCATACATGAGTCTCTTCTGGACAATGATAATTTTTTGAAATCTATTTTGAATTTTCAGTCCATAGCTGAGCTATTTTAAGCCCGAGTGCTACCTGATTTGGCAGAGACTCCATCAGAAGGGAATGAAATTAACTTTCACAGCAATGCGCGAAAGTATTAATAGATTTCAAAAATATTACGGGGGCACGGGGAATCCTTCTCTTAGATTATCCTCTCTTGGTATGAAACATTAATTGTTCTATCTAGGGACGGATTGAATACTCATGTACCACGTGCCTAACAATCAGAATGCGTCATCATGTTTAGGGAGGTGCTAAGAGTATCCCAGAAACTTGGGGAAGAATAGTCACTAGCCCGCTACGATTTCTGGGATCGTTCGGGTATGAGCTAATGATTGATCGATGATTTCTAATGGCAACCATCGACCTATCATAATTCACATTGGGATCCAATTTTGCCGTGTGTTAGGCCCGGTCAAACGGTCACAACATTTGTCTCAACATTCTCTCAACATTTGTTGAGACATGTTGAGAGATGTTGAGACCATGCCCGGTCAAACGACCTCAACAACCTCTCAACATTTCAAGAGCAAAAGAAATGTTGTGACGATGTTGAGACAAAGTTTAAATGGATTCAAACTCCTCTCAACATGTCACAACACCTCTCAACATTGTTGAGAGGGTTGGTCAAACGGTCTCAACATCGGCTCTCAACAAATGTTGAGAGAATGTTGAGACAAATGTTCATGGTGACCGTTTGACCGGGCCTTTAGTTTCCTCTTCTGCGCGCGCGTTTGCCACGCGCGTCCCACCAGAGAAAAATCTTACTCATTTATATATATGCAAAAGTTAATCTAAAAACGTGCTGTGCTCTGGAATGCGGTAGAGGCACTAATCACACTGGTAATATTTTATTTGATGAACTTCTTCAGTTAGCCATAAAATTACTAGCACAGTATACATCCAAAAACTCATCCACAGTCCTCTCGTCGGTTTTGGTATGGCCACTAATCTCTGAGCACTTCATGAAACTCTGTTACATGCAAGAAAAAAGAAACACTAGTACTTGCAGAGACCTATACTTGCGTTCGAAAGCCAAATAACGCTCAATTCGGGATTTAGTAAAATATTTTCATTCTTTATGTTTACAAGTGTTTGTTATTGCTGCCAGTTTTTAACTCGTGAATGCGCGCATGCGCAATAGCGAGTTTAGCAATTTATGGACAAATTTCACTCGATCCACATAGCGCGCATACCTCGAGAATATTTTCGCTGTAAATTTGTTTTTGCTAATGCTGGTAGGTTTTCTTCATTGCTTCCTCAATTCACTCGTTACCTTGGAGAGGTTTATAACCTTCCCTTCCTAGCCTTGTTTGTGCTAAGTTACCACTTTCACTAACATAATCTCGTCTCTAAACGTGTTATCATTCCTAAGTTCTCTTTATCTTATGAAATAGGTAAGGAGCCAATCATTTCAGGAAATGAAGTTTCCGAAATAAACCTTCCGTAGCTCAGTGGTAGATCTAGAGCGTCCGACCGGTGTGCGGATTCAAGGTCATTGGTTCGATTCCTGTTGGGGGAACTCGAAATTATTTTCCGAGTAGCTTAACCTCAGGTCGGAATAAAACAAAATAAATTACTCATTAATTCCAGCTCCTCAATGTGATTATTGTTTCTCTTTTGAAATTGTACTTCCGTTTGTTAGCTCCATATATGCATATTGGTATTGAAGACACATTTGAGGACTGTAAATCGTAAATCGGTGGGTATGGTGTATTATAAATAAAAGTATCAAACTAAGAAAAGTGAACCTAACTACCGCTAAAGGCCGTCTTTCACGAACGACGTAAGCATAAGCATAAGCGCAAGCGTAAGCACAAGACGCGTACCGCGGGGGCGACTTGTAACCCGTGATAATGCTAGTGCAAACACAAGAAAACTGAAAAGAAGTCACAAATTGTTAGCGAAAAACTCGTACGCCATATTGGATTTCCATGATGCAATGTGGATCAAAATTTAAAGGCACTACGCCTGTGTATGTCACCTTGTGATTATGATCGCACGTGTGTGAACACCCTTGCGCTTGCGCTTATGCTTGCGTCGTACGCCACATTTCTCCTAAGCGGAGACCGAGTCGTATTCCGGGCCAAACACAAGCACATCATTTTTCTCCTGCATTAAGACCCCAATCCCACCGGGCACTTACACTAATCACTGATTGTTCACTCTAGCTGGAGAATCGATAGAAAAACGCATAAGAAAAGTCTAGAGTGTTGGATGGTTAGAAACCATCAGTGACATTAACCGTCAACAGTTCACTGATAAACTCGAAATAAATAAAATAAACAACTTTATTTAAGTGTCAGAGGATTTAGCACTGCTGTACTAATTGTGGACACTTTAATTGAACAAACAAATATTGTATCAAGCGGTTTTTCCCAAATTAAACGTCTGGACTAGGACCAGGTTTGAGAGCACTAAAAGTGATCTTTGATCTCCCATTAGCATACACGTATTGGAAATTAAACTTAGCCGGGCAAACGTATAGATTAGATACGATAAATTAATAGCGGTTGTGCCATTTAGCAACTGTAGCAAATATGAAAGGAATACAATGAATATTGAATATTTCCTATTGAAAACCATCATTTGAATTTGTATGGACGTTTGTATGGCTGGGTGGCAAGAGTTTCCACACTGGCAAACGTTTGTAAATTTTGCAACTTTTGATCGTTAGAAGCAGGTTTCCGGCATGCCGTTTCATTTCAAACTTGTCACGATGACTAAATTTTGCACGCTTTTTTCTAGTTACATTATCTGATTTTTGCAATTATTGACAATTATTCCAAAACCAGTTCGCGGTTTTTCCTCAATTTTTAAAAGGGCGAAAACATGGCGAAAATACAATGCTTATATGAATACGCGACGTGATAATTTCCGTAAGGTTTTTTTGCTTTACTAATAAACTTCAGTTTTCCATACACCCGCGCCATGATGGTGGAAAACAGTCAAAGGGAATGGTATTTGCTAAAAGGTTAAATACCATTCACAGTCAACTCCTCTACAAGATGGACACCTCTATAAAAGGGACACCTGGTGTTGGTCCCTGTGCGCCGTTTTAAGTCATTTTACAGTATCTAAACTCTCTATAAGCCGAACACCTCTCTAAGATGGACAGTTGGTGCCAGTCCCAATGGTGTCCATCTTAAAGAGAGTTGACTGTATAACCCTTTGGTGTTTCCTCCCTTACATTTTTACATTTCTTCTTCCTTGTTGGAGAATTCCATACGGGGTAGATTGCCCGACCAGTTGTTGATTTGACACATTTTCTTTCCTTAATAAATAACAAATCAGTCATTATCTGGGTCAGCAGTCAACACGCAACCATTGATGACCCTTCCACGACCCTACAAATGAGAGTCCAAGAGAATAGAAATATAGAAACAATAACATGACATAATAACAACTTTCCTTCTTCAAAAACTCATTTATGACTTCTCAATTGGAGATATTCGGGCAATGATAATACGATAAATTGCTGAGGTATATTTGTTATCGTCATAGCAACAACCAAGGCCGAAAACAGTCAGAATAAGGTATCAATGATGGCATTTCTTTAATACAATTTAGAATTTCCTTTCTTAAGGAAATTGCATATTAACAATGTTAGATCGGTTACCCTGCACTGAAATTCAATTAGGATAATCCAAATCTATTTTCCTTGAAAATGATAACAAGTGAAAAGTTGTAGAGTTTAAAATATTTGGGCAAAACATTTTGCTTGGAATACCTCATGTAAAACCTTGTTCCAAAAGACGATTGGAATTCCAAAGCAAACTGTGCAGGAATCAGAAGAACTATAGTGGTCATGATACGAATGAAGGCAATGCATGAAAAGTTTTTTAAAAAGCTGTTAAAAACGAGGAATGTTTCAGTTGTTTACAAATCAAACACACTTATGTAACGTCAGAAAATCAGTCATACTACAAAATATATCCAAGAAATGACCAATCCTCAACATTCGAGCCGTTCGTGTTGTTTAAAGATGCTGAACTGAAGAGCACTTGGACGAGTATGCTACTAACAGCACTACTTGTTGTCAAAATATCAGTTACTGGTAATTTGGGTTGTGTTAATGGGGCACTTGCTGTGAAGAACTATAAACTGCAGGTACCCAGTGAGTAACGAAAATGCAAACAAATTTAATTTCCACAGTATTGAGGACTAAATAAGTCGGGTCAAGTTGAGTATTATCGAATTCCTGCATGTTCGCAGTTTTGGAAATGAAATATTGAAGATCTTACATGAAAATAAATCGCGTTTCTTGCACAAAATCCAAAATCCAAAATTTGTAAATTCAGCGTTTTTATTCAAACACGTGTTTATAAGTGCGTGCATGAAAGTGTTAATGAGGAGTGTACACCTGCTGGAATCGACACCGAGATTTCCAGAAAGAAAGAAGGAAAGAAAAACACGTACGTAATTCCCGTAAAATGTGATCTTCGATCAAATCACTGCAATAAAACGAGCTGTTCATTAGGTCAAAGCTTTTATTTACCTCAAATAATCTGCAATATTAGCTGAAATGTATTGCACGCTTTTCTCCCTTAGCAGGTTTATTTTGACGGAACAGTGGCAACGTTATCTGTGCGATTTAGACTGGTGAGATTTTCTTGTTATGTTAATACGTTTAGTGAAAGTTTCCTCGTGTTTTCATTTTATAATCTGCCTTGTCGAAACCTTTTTTGCTTTTGTTTAGACAAATGTTTTCTTTGCAGATCTCGACTTTATTATTATTTGTTTTTAAACATGACTTCCGAGCAAGCTCTTCTCTGATTGGTCGGTTAAAAGCTGTACAGAGAAGAATGGCGTCAATTAGCCGAAATGAACAAGGTGATTATTTAATATTAATAATGTCATCAGTCCCCAAATAAGTGTTAGACCAACTCCTGGAAGATCTCGTCAGTAGTGATTCCGAGTAAAACCGAGTTTCAGAACGGAGTCAGGCAGTAGTTTGTCAAGGTATAGGTTGATGTGGTACTGAAGAAGGATCCTTTGACATGGAATATCCAGTAAGTTCTCAGGTAAGGCTCATATTTGTAGAGTTATTACAAAACATACCAGCAAACATGGAAATGCATGTAGAGCTCTTTCTACAAAGCAAATATTATAAAACATTTCTCCGAACGAATTGTTGTAAAGGGAAACAAGTGCCGTAAGCTAATCGGAATCCATTGCACTGTATTTATCACGAGGCAGTATCGACTTGCGTTCGGGCAGATATCGAGATATTTACCCGTGTTTTTAACTGCAGTATTTATTTGCCGGGACATACGAGGCTAATTGACACTTGGTGTTGTCTGTTATGGGAGTATTTTGACAAGGTCAGCAAAGCAATCACAAGCAAGCCGAAGACGTTTGTGTAAAAATAAGTGGTGTAAACAAAGACAATTGAAAAACTGTCGATGCAAAACAGATAACTGCTGTCTTATATTAAAGGGGGTTGGAGTTTGAACACGAATGTTTGATAGTTTTCATAGAAAAGTGAATAAACCGAGTCAGGTACGTTGTGGATGAAACAATTGACCACCTGCTTGTAAACAATGCAAGATGACAGTCTCTTGACTCCAACCTGTTCCGGGGACCTTGTCGGCGTCGATTATAAACTACATACCAGTTATTATTGCACAAAAATCAATATCAACATCCTATAAAAACGCATTCAGACTTAGGGGCTATGGAAAATTCGATTTTTCAGCAGGATTAAAGCATTTGGAGGAACTGAACCATTTTACCATTTCACCTATGTCGCATGATGACAAAATGAAGCACAAAAATAGATTGGGTGCAAATCCCTCGATATAGTATCTATAGATGTCTTAGCAGTTACAACTTCTCACTCGTTTCTCAAACGTTTGCATTGATGAGCAATACGCAGCCGAAGTGAACAGGAAAATTCCTTTTAAAGGATATCCAGGTTTTAAGGATGTTATGACCTTTCTCACGACAGGTTCAATTAACTAGTTAATTTAATTGTTGGATAATTGTAATCCTTTAACGCCCAGTGCCAAACCTTATTAACGGGTCCTCCAAATCGACGAGTTATGCGTCGTGAGTGGGGACGGTAAATTAGCAATAAGGCGAAGTAGTATTGAAATTAAGATATTGCCGGCAAAATCAAGAAAATTCAAGATTTTGACGATGTTGTCGAAATCGGCAAAATCTTGAATGTCAAGAATTTGTAACTCACTGGGGATAACTTACTGCCGTAACTTACCAATGTCAATTTACTCCCTTAATATTCCCGGACCCAGTTTTGACCCAGTCTTGAGCAGTACTTTCATGTGGTATTGTTTATCAAACCCTAAATGTCAGGATCAAAATCCTTCTGACTGTTACTGAGTGAAGCTGTTTTTATGAATACATTTCATATAAGAAACCTTTCTGAGATTACCAGGTTCCCTCATTCTCACGGCTATTAATAAAACTGTAAATAGAATGTAAATCTAATCATAAAGAGCAAAACGAAAGAAGGAAAAAAGATGACGAGAATTTATAAGGACTGAAGTCAGCTCCCCCTTA